GAAGAATTTATCTTGTACTTAATGCACTTTAATTGTGCTGAAGTAGTGCTGAAGGCCAACTAAAGATATACTGAAGTATATTTGATTGTGCTGAAGTGGAACTATTGCAAGTATACTTCAGGTACACTTTAAATGTCTTGCATTTAAAGACCAGTATTATTCAAAGATCATACAGTCCTCATCAATAGTGACATTAAAGCACATTTTAGGCTTAATATTAAGAAATGTGCATTGTGCACAAGTAGTACTCCAAATAAAGTTTCATTAAAACTTTTATATCAGTAAGTCTCGATATGTCAGTAAATATGTTAATAGATTTGAACTATACTTAGTATGTAATTAATGCATTTTAAACACATTACTTTTTACTAGGGTACTGAGAGTTTTCAGATAAAATATGATTAAAAATACAAATAAGATGATATCTCAACACCACTCATTGAATTAAAGTCAACATAAAATGCCATTTGCAACCCGTTTTACTTCTGTGATGTGATGTATTACTGATTAATGTTTTCTAGGAGATTTCTAGATATGGAAAAGTAGAAGAAAAAATGAAATCTTAAAAATCATTAATAAAATATATAAAAATATATTCATCATATATAAAATATTAATTTTGTTCATAGCAAATATAAACACACACACACACACACACACACACACACCATATTGTAATGGAATCTTATTTTCTCATATTTCTGTAAGAGCCTTTGGTTCCTGCTGCAGTCGTGCGGTGTTTCCTCCGGATCAGCTCGGGTGTAGGGTTAGATCAGTTTCTTCTGAGCATTCATCATGTAAATAAATAAAATCATTCTAATATCAGTTCTGAAATGCGTCTTATTTGGCATGTTCCAGTGCTGCTGTTTTTTAAGCATCTTAGTCCGTTAAACCACATTTGACATGCTGATGTTCACAGCTCGTTCATGCTTGTGAAAGCCTCTGAGCTGAACCTGTAGATTCCTGGTGAAAAAAAATATATATATATACATTGTTATATTAAATATATATTACATGAAAAATGTAAAAATAATTTTAGACATTTATTTTTAAAGTTCTTTTTCAGTCATCACACTACTGGAAAAGTCATGGAGAAATCATGGATATTTGACAAATATTTTTTGAAATCACAATTTAAATTCGCATACTATTTCACACACGAGTTTTTAAAAAGTAGTGCAGTACAGTAAGCGCAGTTAGCAGTACACTATTATTCTGTTCTGCACCTAGTCTTTATTCTGGAAGTGCAGCTTTATATTTTAGACTCACATGTGCTTCCTGTGAGGTTTTTATTGCGTTGGTGTTGAATGCTTATCTCTCTTCATGAAACGCTCTCTGGCTCTTTGTTCATTCAAAGCCGTGATTAAATGAGAGCCAGACGATCTCATTTAGCATCTCTGTGAAGTCAGTCCAAACAAATCTCATCGTGAATTTACCTCGTTAAAAACGGCACTATGAAACATTGACCCTCTCTAGCAGTAAATACTAGCAGCTCTGCTTGAGATCAGTGTTGGGGAAAGTTACTTTTAAAATGCATTACAATATTGCGTTACTCCCTAAAAAAGTAACTAATTACGTTACTTAGTTACTTTTTATGGAAAGTAATGCGTTACATTACTTTTGCGTTACTTGCGTTACCTTGATTGTTTTTAATATAAGAAGTTATATTTATAGCAAATGTAAAAGCCCCTTCACACCAAAAAGTGTAATGAATAAACCTCAGGCTGAAGGAAAAGTAAATTTACATCTGTACAGTAGAACGCAGGAGAATAAAAAACAATGAAGCACAATTGTTAGTTTATCTAAAGTCATTTTTGCTTATTAGTATGATTGAACTGGATCATCAAAGGTCAGCAGCAAAGAATTTGGTTAATAAAATGGGATTAGATACATTTGTGTTATTTAACATATTTAATTACTGCAGGTTTGCGTCATATTCTGAGTATTTCACTGTTTTAATTCATTTTGATGAATACTAAATCTGTTTTTTGTGAGTGGGATGAATTAATGCACATTCACATTTAGTCTAGAACTACAGTAACATCATGTTCACACAGCGCACACAACGCCTCTGTACTCCCGATTTCTCCCAATATGCGGACAGTCACTCAGATATTTTCTTGTGAATGAAAAAAGTAATGCATTACTAGTTACTTGAAAAAAAGTAATCTGATTACGTAACTCGCGTTACTTGTAATGTGTTACCCCCAACACTGCTTGAGATGTTATCCGGTGCTCCTGCTGCAGCTCCAGTTGTTTATTTGATGCAGACAACTTGGCAGAATAGCACATTTCGTTTTAATGGAAGAAATACTGTACCAGCTAGACAGAAGTAATACGCTGAGTGAAGGAGACAACCCAAAAGAGGTCAGGCCTTAACTCTTCACCCATGAATCTGTGGTTCAGTCACTGCACACGTGGAGTTTTGTTCACGTTTGGTGGCTTAATTTTTGTATTTTTGTTCATTTTCTTTCAGAGATATTCAGCTCACTTTTAAAAGTAGGTCTTTTTTATACAGACAAGTAAGTACTGGCTTTGTTTCCTAATGAATATAATATTTATGTTGCTTTATAGGATGTCTGCCTCCTAGTGTTAAATGTGTGAATCTGCACTGTTTCATTTCAGTAGATTAGACTTTGATGGTGAAATATGGCTGATATGTTATGTAACAGTAATAGTCATGTAATCAAAGTGCTCACAGGTGCGGAGGATGACTGGGGCACTGGTTGTCGTCGGTCAGGGTAGATTGTCTGTTAGTCAGATACAGGAGCTGCTAGAAGCCCGAGATTCACTGGCCTTCCCAAAAAACCCTGACGGCACCAGTCCACGGCCTGTTTCTGACCCATGTACAGTACAGAGATACAGGCAAGACATGTTCAGAATATTGCTCTACTCATTAGACTTGTATGTAAATTGTAAATGTACATGTCAACTGTACAATCACAGAACACTGCACAGAACAACTTGGCCTAAAATGCAATGTGCTTGAATTGAGCCTCCACTCCATTTTAACACATTCTTTGACAAAATTTGATTAAAAACGCAAAACAGTGCAAACTGGACTGCACTTGCTGAATTAAAGATGTAAAATAATAAGCTCGTGTAATGAGTGTAGAATTCTACTGCTGTTTGTTACATAATGCATGCTGTTTCATTGTTAAATAGCAAGTAATATGCAGTGCAGTATGCAGTACACACTACACACTACACAGTATGTTCTCTCAGCCATCCATTCCTCCACAAGATCATGCATTTTATAGAGGTCACTATGTAAAGTACATCAATATTAAATATGGTTTATATTTTTTTGTTCCTTACAGATCTTGGGGCTTGTATGCTGGCTGAAAAGTAATATAATTATTTAAATTATTATTGACAATTAAGAAACAATATCTATTGTAAATATGTTTAAACATGTATTAAAGTCTTATTTTTATCCCTTGTCTCCCAACACTTGCCTGTCAAAACCATACTTACATAGTTTATATATATATATATATATATAGTCAGTGCCGTGAAAAGGTTTTTGCCCCTTTCCTGTTTTTTAAATTTTTTGCATATTTGTCTCACTTAAAAGATTCAGATCATCAAACAAATTTTAATAATACACAAAGATAATGCAAGTTAATTGGCGCTCAAGAAAAACAAAATGAAGGTTTTGGAGCGGCCAAGTCAAAGTCCGAACTTAAATCCGATTGAACGCTTGTAGCACAACCAGTTATTAGATTTAGGGGGCAATTACTTTTTCACGTAGTGCCAGGCAGGTTTGGACAGCTTCTTTCCCTTAATAAATGAAATCATTATTTCAAAACTGCATTTTGTATTTACTGTGGTTATCTTTGTGACAAATATGGGAAAAAAAAAAACAGGAAGGGGCAAAAACTTTTTCTCAGCACTATATATACACAATGAAACGTCTCCTTAAATATATATTTAAAAAAAAAATGAAGTACTATTGATAATATAAAAATATATTTGAAGCAATTATATACAGTATATATATATATTTTTAAGAAAATTACAAAAAGTTGGTCAAAGATACTTTGATTCGTAGTTTTATTGTAGCACACATCATTCAGACATCAATATCACCACAAAAGCAGCAGAACTGAGAGGTGCTGGATTTGTTTAACAGTTTTATCAAGATCCACAGCAAGCAAGTATTCCTCATCCTGCAACATCCAGACGGTCACTGATCCGCTCCAGACACACAGACTCTGTCAAGACAGATCACTTTCAAAGAGACACATACTTTTTTGTCATCAACATTCAATTGAGGTGAAACTCTTGAAATTATTAATCATTTCAAAAGGCTGATTTGTCAGCTGCAAGTGCATGTTTGTTGAAAAAATGATCAAAACATTTTTCACATGAGAGTAAATGAATGTTACAGAAATATCTTCATTGAGGTGAACGTGACACACAGCTATGAGCAACCTTGTGGTGCAGTGGAAACATCATTATTGAATTGTCCTCAAGCATTATGGGTATTTCGAGCCCGGTCTCACGAAAATGCGTATAAATAGTACGCCAAATAAAAATGAAAACTCGTGGTATTGATACGCAAAAATGGACTTTGGCGTGCATATGATACGCATGTGTTTGGCGTGCATATAATACGCAGTTTTCGCGTGCATATGATACGAAATTTGTTGGCGTACATATGATACGCAGTTTTCGCGTACATATGATACGCATCCACCCCACAACCCTAAACCTACCCATCGCGTAGCATATACACGCCAATGTCCATTTTTGCGTGTCAATACCACGAGTTTTCGTTTTTATTTGGCGTACTATTTATACGCATTTTCATGAGATCGGGTTGGTATTTCAGTTAAACACTAATAAAAGAATGCAATGATTATGCAGGAATGTGTTTGATAACAGAGACAAGTTCATTTATTATCCGATGCGACACCAGATCAAGTGTTGGTTCCTACAGTCCTTTAGTTTAATCATAGATTTCAAATTTTGTTTGCAAGAAAAAAAAAAAAAAGGCAAACAAAAAAATAAAACCCTCTATTTAATATCATTGTAACAGGTATGATTGACAGCTTGAACCAAACTGAGAAAATGAACAAGGCATCATATATTTAATCGATCAAGAAAAGTCTTCCCTTCAAAGATGCGACTGACACACTTTACCCCAACCTCACTACTCGCATACCAACGAATAAAATATACGTCTATCATAATGCATATATAATGAAGCCGGTTGAGTTTCGAGTGGTTAAATTAAAATGTCCCATAATATAAAATAATCATTTGCTACGGCTACCCTGAAGAATACAGCGTGATTGTATAGGATGCGCTCACATCTGCCTTTTACATTTTTAAGGCGGGTGCTAAATGGGAATGTGGCACAGCCTTCGGTTGCATTTGTGTACGTGAACATGATAATTTCCAATTCAATGCAGTCTGGGACTGGGAACACAAAAAATGCTTCCGCTCCAGAGCACTCTTACAACGAATGCCGCGACACATCTGCTTTCTTTACACTGCATCCGTTAAATATAGCAACAGTTTCACTCTTTGTACTTATTAAATATGACAATATTTGTACACGATGAATAGATCCGTTTGTGTTATTCCATGTTAAATACTGGCAAATCCAATGGAGGCACAAATCTTTGGCTTTTGCATAATTTCCTATCAATAAAAGGATTTTGGCAACCGTTTCGGTTTAATTCGAAGCCAATAACTGCCAGCATCCCTTCTGTAGCAATGTCATGAGGTATCAAGTATTAATGTATAACACAATAACAGCAATCTCTCAATATGTTAAATAAACCCTGCATTTTGACTCACACCAAATCACATATAGCTGCACCCAGAGTTCATACAACACAAACTTGACTAAAAAAGATCGTTTTTCATTTCAGCTTGTGATAGAAAATTCAGCTGTTTCCACAAAAATCTCATCCGTAATTACGACAATATGAGTCCTTGGTTTGGAGTCCCATGTTAGAAATCAATATAACGCTTTGTGTGAAGGCAAAGTCAATTTAAAAGGTTCATGATGAAATTGTGGATATATTGAAAGGCATATTCCACTATCCCAGACTGCTTCTGTAGCATTCTCGTACACGTGACGTTAAGACTAGACATTCAAAATTTATTAAGAAGTACAAAGAGTGAAATGTGTTTAAACAAAACCTATAAAAACCCCATCTGAGATAAAACTGCTCCACATGTAAACATCCTCTCTGGCACAGCTCTGCTTCCAGCCTCTGATTTAAAACGTAGCGCGAGCACAGTCCTATTAGAAGAACAAAGACGGCCGCTCAGTTGGCGATTTTCTCGATTTCATCCAAATCATCTGTGTCCAGCTTCTCGATTTTCTTATCTGCAATAGGAAACAGATAATTGAATTAACCCACATTCTGAATCATGAAAACATGGCAATAAATAGAAGCATGGATGCAAGTTAAATTATGGAATTGTCCTCCTGGTTTAAAAGCGAAGTTCTTTCAGCAGCAGCTGTGAAATGTTGATCTCAGAGAGAGAGAAAGAAAATAAAAATAAATATTTGTTAGTTGAAACCATTATATAATTTAACATTAAGACACTTTGTTCAAAAAAAAAAAGAAAAGAAAAAATTACTACATGGTCAAAAAATTATATAACATAATAATAATAATAATAATAATATCTTGTCAACGACCTCAGTCAGTTTTGATGTTCAGCCCAGATTATCTGGCAATTAGGCATTTACAGACCAAATCTTAAACATACCGATCAGTGACGCATCAGGGCTGCCCCAATATTTAGGATTTTAAATCAGGATGATTACGACTATAATTACGTTGAGTACTTTTCACTAAAGCTAATATGTGACCGTTAAACTAGCTGCCTTAACAAAACCATACGGAGAAAGAGAGGAGCTTAGAAGAAATCGCCTCAGTTTTGAACATACCAGGTGAAAATAGTGCACTAGCTAACAAATTAGCTGCTAGTAAACATTAGCTGTGGAAATGTAAACAACAATCTGCTATGCAAGACGAAGCGAGATCACGTGAGGTGCTCATAAACTTTAATAATCTTGCGGTGTGTGATATGCTGCGATTTTCAGATCTTGTAATGTGTGCATTAGGGGTGTGAATTGTCACTGGTTTCATGATTCGATTTGGATTTCAATTCGATATCACGGTGCGTCGCATCCTCAATTTTCAATATTACGGCACATGGCTACATTTTCATATTCATTTTATATCAAATTTATTTTGTGCATTTGTAATAAATTATATAAGCGGGCTACTTTTAAAAAGAATTACAAATTAATAATAAATCAAAACAATTGTTAAGAATTTAACCAACTATATAGCTTCAAAACATACAAGCAAATATAAATAAAGAGGGGGAAAGACAATACAAATGATAAACAAAAACTACTTTCAGTATCAGCACGTGATTTTGTGCATCTAATACGTACTGCATTTCAAACAGCATAAATAAAAGCATAACTAGGTAAAAGACGGCGGGTGGAAGCACACACTGTAAAGAAATGCGCACGTGTCTCACAGCGCATATTCTGTGCAATGAAGCCTGCTGCTGTTGTCTCGAACACGCACAAGTGGGAACCTGGGAACTCACACCGAGACCGCTGTTCTCTGTGCTCGTGCTGCACGCAAACAGTTCTTTCCGTTCCTGCACTTAACCGTTTGAAAATCACATTAAAATGCGAACGCAGGAATCGTTAAGTAGAATCGAAAAGCATGCGTCTTATCGAATACCTGGTTCTTGGAAGTTTGAAACCGGTTTTCGATACCCAACCCTAATTATGACAGAATTTTTACAACCCTGTCCATCAAAATGACGGACAATATTAAAGTCTAACTCAACCTCTGCTGCTGATAGAGCTTAATCCAGGACATTCATTTGTTTGGTTTTTATGAACTTACTGAAGTGCTCCTGGATGCGGTCAAGGATGTTCATGCTAAATCTGCTGTCCACCATGTTTATCGCCAACCCCCTCTTGCCAAATCGCCCAGTGCGCCCGATTCTGTGCAAATACGTCTCATTGTCAGGGTTTCCATCCTTGTCCACTGGCAGATCAAAGTTGATGACGACTGAAACTTGCTCCACATCAATACCTGGTAGAAGAAACGAAGCCATCAGGCAAAATCTGCTTAGCCTGAACTAAAGATGAGATTGTAGGTATAGCGGTCATACCTCTAGCACAGACGTTAGTGGTAACGAGAACTTTCTCCTTGCCATCGCGAAAACGTTCGATGACCGCTGCCCTCTGTTCCACCTGCATCTCTCCACTGAGCAGCGCCACCTGGTGGCCTTCTCTGGACAGCTCTCCTGCCAGCCACCCAGCGGTTTTCCTGGTCTGTGATGGCAAATCTCATGGTCATGCATTACTACTTCTTTTGGTTGTACTCTGAAATAACACCTCAATATCAACAAATGATATTGCACTTACGTGGCAGAAGATCATGGCCTGTGCGATAGTAATGGCTCCATAGATGTTGCACAAAGCCTGGAATTTCTCCTCCTTGCTGTTGCAGATGACGTAGTACTGCTTGATGGTGTCTAGAGTTTCCTCCTCACGCTTCAGTTTAATGATGTTGGGGTCGGGAACGATCCTCTTTGCGAAGTTCCACACGGTGTCTTCAAATGTGGCAGAGAACAGCAGCATCTGGCAAGTTTTAGGAAGCATCCTGTAAAAATACAAGAACAACAGGTTGTGATACTTTCATTCTAAAATTCAAAACCACTCATTTCTTCCTAATGCTCTGAAGTAATTAAGGACAATATATAAAGCAACGTCCTTAACTGATAAAACCTCAATTTATGAAATATTTACAGTGGGGTCCCAAAAGTTAAAGATCACTAGTGAAACAAAAATTTATAAACAGCATCAATTTAAATATTGAATATAAGTCAAAAGTTGAAATGGAGGGGGGAAAAAAGACAAATAATCCTTCAGTATTTGTAGGGGCCTATGATTTCCATGGTGCAGAAAATGTGAATGAACTGCAAATTTTGGATGAAAAAAGTAGGGCTGTACACTTAATTAGGGGTGTTCAATTCTAGATTTTTTGGATAGGAGTTGATGGAATAGACTCCCCGACTTCATTTACTCCAATAAACTTTCAATCACTTTTTTCCCCCGACAAAGATTTTTAAATGAACAAAAATTTTATTTTTTTAGAAGACCAATTAATGTTTTTGCCTTCCACCATTTTTGATAAGTTTGTATTATATTATATTTGTATTAAATTATTAAATGTGACCCTGGACCACAAAACCAGTCATAAGTAGCATGGGTATATTTGTAGCAATAGCCAACAATACATTGTATGGGTCAAAATTATTGATTTTTATTTTATGCCAAAAATCATTAGGATATTAAGTAAATCATGTTCCATGAAGATATTTTGTAAATGTCCTACCGTAAATATATAAACTTATTTTTTGATTAGTAATATTCATTGCTAAGAACTATATTTTCTCAATATTTTGATTTTTTTTGCACCCTCAGATTCCAGATTTTCAAATAGTTGTATCTCTGCCAAATATTGTCCTATCCTAACAAACCATACATCAATGGAAAGATTATTTATTCAGCTTTCAGATGATGTATAAATCTCAATTTCGAGAAATTTACCCTTATGACTGCTTTTGTGGTCCAGGGTCACAAATATAAAACATTTCAAAGGGCCCTATATTTGACTTACTCATATGTCCAGAACAATACAGAAAATTTATATATTTTTTGCATTTTGTCATAACCAATAAAAAAAATGAATAATAATAATAATAATAATAATAAGACTTTTAGAGCCCACTGTAGACATTTAGCAAACTATGAGAGAAATCCTGTACCTCTGGATACGAATGCTCTGGTCTTGATGGCCTTGTGTGGCGATCATGACATCAGCTTCATCCAGGACGAACACCTTGATCTTCCTGGGGTCGATGAATTTAAGCTTCTGGCACCAATCCAAAACAGTGCCAGGAGTGCCAATCACGACCTGTTCCTGTAATTTTGTTCCCCGCTCCACTGGACCAAACAACACACGACAACATGCACAATTACAAGCTACTCCTGTGTAATAAAAACGTAGTTAGCCTTTGATAGTGACATCATGGGGTCAACAATTAAAAATCAAACATGCCGTAATATACACATTCCAGATATCATGTTACTAGAGAATTGTACAGAAAATCTTAAAGGGGTCATATGATGTTGCTAAAAAGAACATTATTTTGTGTATTTGATGTAATGAAATGCGTTTATGCGGTTTAAAGTTAAAAACACATTATTTTCCACATACTGTACATTATTGTTTCTCCTGTATGCCCCGCCTTCTGAAACGCGTCGATTTTTAC